ACTGGGCTCTGTGCAGCCTCCCTCCCCAGCTGCCAAGTGACTCATCCCCAGGGCTGCTAATTAAAGCCAGGACAGAGGGGACAGAGGCAAGGGGAGGGGAAGAGAGAGAAGGCAAGTTTATTTTGGTGCCAACCAGGCACGCAGCCAGCTTAGGGGTCACCCACTTCCTGGGGCTGGGCCAGGCAGAGGCAGGGGAATACAAACTGGATGGGGAAGGAAGACCCTCTTTCCCTTCTTGTCCCTCAGGGGCTTCCTGGAATGGCACCTCCTTTGGGAAAATTACCCAATCCCCTCCCCCCCATCCTTTTCTATCCCACTATCATTGCAGCTGTACCCCCTCCAGACTCTGGTCCTTACAACTGGCTTCTCCTCTTCAGCACACTCCCATTTGGGCTTGCCGGAGCTGGCTCATCTGTGTCTATACCCAGCTTCTGTCTCCCCACCCCCCCACAGACCACCCAACACAGGTCTGGTACATAGTGAATGCTCTACGTGCTTCTGGAATACAACTGGGTTGATTCTGGTAGTGTGGTGACCACAACCCTGATGGTCTGAATTCCTATCCTAGTTCTATTATTACAAGATAAATACCTTCAGCCCCCTAAGATCAGTTTCCTCTTTGGCAAAATGACAAGAATACACACCCTCTAGCATCGTTATGGACGTTAAATGAGAGAATACAGGTGAAGCGCCCAGCATATGCCTGGCATATAGCAGCTTTAACCAACAGCTTTAGCTTCAGTAAGTGCTCCTGCTGCTAACACCCCACCTCGGGCCCAGGGTAGCAGCAATGACAAAGCCGAGTTCCAAGCCTGGCTCCACCACATGGTACCTAGGGAACCTCACGGAGCACTGCCTCATATGTAAAATGGGGGTTTGTGATATGATACCACAGATGGACTGTAAAGATTTGAGCCCGTCAAGCATCCTGTGTGGAGCCCAGCTCTTAGAAGCTGCCAGATAAATGGCAGCAGTGAATACCAAGGGCAGCAAGGGGAGTTCAGACCTCTGGGGCCGGAGCATCCCAGGAGGGAGGAAGCAGGCGGGGAGGACTAGGGCAGTCAGGAAGGCTTCCCAGAGTGCGCAGGACTGGAATTGGGCCCCCAGAGCCAGAAAGCTTTCAGCAGACACTAAGCAACAAGGTTCCAGGCACAGGAAGTGGTGGGAACAGAGGGCCGGGGCAGGCCGAGGAACCAGGCTATGCTGAACAGGACGCAGCCTGGGAAGGGAAGACTCTGACACAGCTGGGTTGCCTCTGGGGACTCCGGGACTTGTAGCATCTTTGATTGTGGATGGGGGAGCCTTGGAAAGTCCGTGAGGTCTCAGCCACCCCGGATTGCCAGGAGGTCAAAACGAGGAAGCAGTTTAGAGATTACCTAATCCAAACTCCCTTTGGACAGATGGGGGCACTGAGGCCCAGAGTGGGAGGCCTCCTCTGGGAACAGAGCCAGCCGTGGCTCCTCCTCCCACTTCTCCTCCCAAATGCGGTGGCTCCTGTTGCCATGGGGACATCCCTGGCTCTGCGGGTGTCAGTGGCTCCCCCACCTCCTCCCTCCTTCCCTAGCAACAGGCCACCTCCTCGGCTCTCCTCCTTGAGTGCCTGGCAACCCCGGCCCCACCCCCAAGGCCCCCCAGTTTCAGCCTGACCCTCCCTACCGTGGCACTGCCTCCAAACCCGGGACCCTTGGGAGGTATTGTCCCCTCCTGCCTCTCCCCGCACTTCTCCACCTCTTTCAAGCCTGACCATTCAGTAAGAGACAGTGGATTGGGGGTAGAGGAGGGTGGTGGGCACTACAACGTATTGAGCACTATTTTATGCTGAATACTGTTTTACTTTAATTTCTCTCATCTGGCCGGGACAAGTCAAAATCCTCATCTCCATTTCACCGACCAGGAAACCAAGGATCAGAGTTCAGTGACTTTGCAGAGAGTGCACTGGCTAGGAAGCAGGCTCTGCTGAGAGCTAGCTTTGTGAACTCGAGCCATCGCCCTCCATGGACCTTGGTTTAAAGTGCCTGTAGGCTTGACAACTTCTCACAAACCTACAGGAAGTCCAGGCACCTTCCTGTGCCCACAGCCCTCGTGCAACACCAGCTGTTCAGCTCTAATTAGACTCCACACTTCCTCTGGCACCCCATACTTAGAAGCCCTCAGGCTTCCGTGGTTTTCAATCTACCGACCCTGCTTCCACAACACCCAAGGCCTCACTCCTCTCCTTGGTGTTTCTTCTCCCCACCCCAGCCTCTCCCTTTTACACACACACACACACACACACACACACACACACACACACAATGCGTATTAGATGAAGATGCTGGGGCTCCAAGGGATGAACAGATTTGTCCAAAGGCACAGAACTAGAAAATGACCTCACCATAAATGGAGCCCTTTACCTGGATCTACTTGCTGCCCTTGCTATGCTGCAGAGCCCAGCCTCTCCCCTCCAGCCTTCCCTGGCTCCCACTGATAACAGAAGGTATCAGTCTGTGTTCTGAACTTTAACATTAGCTCTTTTCCTGCCCAGATACATTTTAGCCCAGCCGACTGTGGCCCCTCGAATCCCATCCTCACTTCTGATGCATGCCGGCTCCACTCCCAGGGATGCACCCGTACCCCCCACTGCAAAGTCTGCGTGTCAGTCCTCTGTAGCCCAGATCAGATTCTGCCTTCTCTAGGAAGCTCTCCCCTGACCCCGAGCTGAAGCGAGCTCAAGAATTTACATGTGGTCCCATGAGCATCCTCACACAGCCCTGGTTCCAAGTTCAAGGGTCTACCCACCACCTTTGCAAGATCTTGCCCCACAAGTGCTGTTTTAAGACCCTTACACAGCCCAGTGTGACTCCTGCTTCCCAACTGCTGAGTCCTTGAGGCTCCTGTAACCTCCTGGACTGTGGACCCAGGATGGATGTCAGGAAGCACATCTCCATAAAACAAATACTGGCTTTGGAATCAGACAGCACAGGGTATGAGTCAGAGTGATGCTACCCTGACCTATTGCTTTTCTTTCTTTGGGCAAGGCACTGACCCTCTGGGGAACCTCATTTTCCTCATCTGTAAATCAGGGATCCCAATCTACATCTATTAGGGCTGTTGTGAGCATTAAATAAGATCCCGTTCAGAGTTCTTAATATGCAAAGAGCAAATGATAACTGCTATTATTACTAATATTAAGATGATGATGATGATGATGATGATTATCTGCAAGGCTGTCAAGAGCTCCCGCAGTGACAACGTGGGCAGGGCTCCAGGCTTGGTGCCAGGCAGACCTGGGTTTGAATCCTGGCCCAGCCATCTATGAGTTGTGTGGCTGTAGGCAAAACCCATAATCAGCCCAAGCTTCAGTTTCTTCAACTGTAAAGCAGTGATGATAAGGCCAGCCTGGGTTCCACCTACAGTGTCACTGGGAGGATCAAACAAAAGAAAGTCTCTGATGACTTCTGTAAGTTGTAAAGGCCCAATGCATGGCATCATGACTTATGATTATGATCATTAGTAAACACCCTGAGCTATAGGTCCCAGGAACTCCCCTGCTGGGGAGAGCTGGGAGCTAGAGATGCCTTTAATTGGGTTCTTCAACAAGTAGCAGGGATATCAGTGCAGAGGCCTATGCCTGTGCTTGGAGCCATGCCAGGTTGCCTTTCTCCAAACCCACAGTGGGACAGTGGGACCCATGTCCTTTGCTAGACTAGTGCCTTCCTAAATGCTAGGACAGGCTGTGCCCATGCCACCCTCCTTGGCTGCATGCTTGGACTAATTGCATCTTATCATGTACTACTTGCCTGGATGCTGGGCCTGACTGCATCCATCACATTCCCCTGCTTTCCTGCTGACCCAAGTGTGCTCCCATCCCATGGTCCCAACCTTGGCCCTCATCAGTGTGCTCATCCCATAGCCCCTGCCTGGGATGCCAGGACACGGTGTGTCCCATTACACACTTCCGTCTGTATGCTGGGATCCTCTGCCTCCCTCCCATATCTACTGCCTGAATGGCAGGACCTGGGTTGCCACGTATGGCTGGGCAAGCTGTGCCCTGCACAAGGGTTCACAGCCAAGAGGCCACAAGTAGGGGGCTGAAATGGTATCCTGTGCTCTGTTCACTGATCTGGGAACCCCGGTGAGGAGCCATGGTACCCCAGTAGAAAGAGAACATTCTTCCAGCCGGTCCACTCAGTGGATTCTACTCTTCATGTAGGCACTGGATATGCTAGTTACAATCCTGGCTGGGACTGAGTGTACCTATCCCATCCCTCTGTTGCCTGGGCCCATCTCCTCCCTAGATGCTAAAACTGAGCAGGCCCTATCCTGAGTCCCCCACCATTCCTATATAGACCCCCTAACCTTGACACTTGTGTCTTCACAAAGCTTCTGATGGGTTAAGGCCTGGGAAATGCACAAATAGCCCTTGTCCTTACCTTAGTTTTACTCCCACCCCCTCGAGTGGCAGACTGATCACACCCCAAAAACTTACTGAAGCTTGTAAACCCTTTTTACCCAGCATGTCAAAAACAATGTGCACTTGTCACCATGATGTATGTTTCTAACGTGTAGACCGTGTCACATTAAAAGTCCGCCCAGATCCCACTACTCAGGGCTAGTGCAGTTTGGAGTGGAGCACCAACACCACACCAGAGAAGCCCTGCTTCTCTCATACCCTCTTCTCCTGGAAGCAAAAGGTGGAGAAGGTCCCAGGTCCAGAGCCAACCTCTATGCAGGTTGGCTTTCCCATCTGAGCAGCAACTGTGAGTCCCTCTGGGGTTCAGCCCAGCCCAGAGTAGCTAGGGTCAGAAAGACTGAGGAATAGTTTTCAACCCCATTCCCATGCCTGCCACATTCACCCCAGCCCTCCCAGTCTGCCCCATACCCGCCCCTAATACCAATGGGACAAAACCCCTGGGGTTGGCCCCTGCCCCTGACCATGGATCCCCAAGTTAGAAACCAGAGGGCCCCACCCCAGTCCCTGCCCCATCTCCCAACAGCTACTAGAAAAAGGGGGTACTGACCTGACTGTCCTGGAATTCTCACCATCAGATCTGAAAGGGAAACAGAAAAAAAGACCAACAGTCAGCATATGCTCTCTGTTCTTCTTCTCCCTGTGCCCTATGCAATGACCTTGGTGGCCTAATACATGTCATGAAAATGAGGGGAAGGGTATCTCATGCAGAGAAGAGCCACTGAGAAGGCTGGGAGATGGCGAAGGGCCTGGACATTTGTTGGGACAGGGAGGAGGACAGCATGACTAGGGTGGACTGAGCAAAGGGAGAAACGGTAGGGGGTGAGGTCAGGGGGATGCCAGGAACCAACCATGTGGGTCCCAGTGGGTTACAGTGAGAGGTAAGGCCCAAATCAGAGTGGCTGAGAGGCAGCCTGCAGCTGTGGGCCAAGGCAAAGCCCAAGCTTTGAACCCAGAGAGACCTAGCCTCAGATATTGGCTCTGCCACCTACCAGCCCTGTGACCCAGGCAAGCCACCCCCCTTCTCAGGATCTAAGCCTCAGTCTCCCCACTTGGAACACAAGGCCAATCCTGGCAGGGCTGTTGGGATGATTAAGCCCTTTGGAACCCAGCAGACAAATGCCAGGTATTATTAACAACATAGCAAAGGCTTTGCCAATTGCCTGGTCCAACCTGCTTATTTTCTAGACGAACAGAATGAGGCTGAGAGGGTAAGTGAGTCAGCTGCTGGGCTCCTTTCTACTACACCAGCCCTGCCTTCTCCATTGTGAGGCCCCCTCAGAGGTGAAGGAATGGCAAGAGAAGAGAATGGAGTGGAGGACAGCTTTGAAGGAACCAGAGGGAATGAGTGAAACCTGAACCACACCCCTCTGGCTGTTCCTCCTCAGAGAAGTGGGGGGTGGGTAGGGGGAGGATTGGGACAGTAAAGCTGGCGCCTGGCTTGGGGGGGGTGGAGAAGGGGAGGAAGAAAGACCAGGAAACTTGGAAGAATGGGGAGAGTGTGGGAAGCAGCCTTTCCCATCTCCTTTGTCTTCTTCTTCCTCCTTCTTTATGTGACCCCCCCACCCCCACCGCTTCTACCGAGAAGACAGAGATAACACATCACAGGCTCTGTCCTCAGGCAAGGGAACCTCAGTGAGGGAAGCATCATCTATGCTGAGTGCAAAGCGAGAGAGGGACGCACAGGGAGGGGAGGTGGACCTCAGAAGGGAGTATTTGTTAGAAGAGTGAATGGAGCATTCACAGTGAGGTGGGGCAGGCAAGCATCAGGGTGTTGGAGCTCTGACTGGGTGAGTACTGTGCTCCCATTTCTGCTACTTATTAGCCACGTAATTCTGGGGGAGGCATTCCCCTATGCCCAGCCTCAGCTTTTTCACTTGTAAAATGGGGTGGTGGGGAGAGAATCCCTCCCCTTGTCAGGTGAGGCTTGCACAGCATCTGCCTGGCGCATGGTACATGTTCAGCCAAGGACAGTGGTACTGACCTTTAGCCTTCACAGTCCTGTAAAGGGACAGAGGACCAGGGCCACAGAGCACCTCTGAACGTTTATTAAAACTTTCCATCTCACTGTGTAGCAACAAGATTGCTTCTGAGGCTCGGCCCAATTATTCATAGGTACCAGGTCAGAGGCTGTCTGACTTCAATGACTCCCCAAGTGCTGACAGAATTGAAGCCAAGCCCCTCAGCCTCTCTCCCTAACACTAACCCTCTGCTCCAGACAGGCTAGTCTTCTCGCTGCCCCAACCCACCCTCCAAGCCCCAGAACAGATGAATTTGGTCTACTGTATACCAGACCCAGACCTGGGAATATGAACCCTCCAGGAACGTATGGACTGGCCTCCTGCCCCAATCTACTTTCAAGCATAAGCAACATATATATAATCATCTCGGTCATCATGTAAATAATCACTGAGCACCTATATGTACCAGGCACAGTGTCAGACTCTTTCCCTACATTATCTACTTTGATCCTGCAAAGTGGGAACTGCTCATCCAATTTTAAAATAATCAGACTGGGCCTCAGAGATCAGACTGGGACTCAGAGAAGTTGAGATGATTGGCCACACATCATGTAAGTAGGGGAGCTTGGCGTGAACCCCAATGCTCGTGATCTTACCATCACACACCACTGTGCCAGTAGCTCAGTGCTGGGCACACATGCACTGTTAAGATCAGCTCCTTTATCCTACTTCTCTAGTGTCAGGACAGATCCTTCTTCTCTAGGGTTCTTTCTTCTGAGAGGTTCTTAGATACATACCTCTGCTCCAAAAGCAGGTCAATATGAGGTGTTACAGTCCTTAAGATGGCAGCTGAGGGGAGCAAAAGATCTCTAAGCCATAATGTGCAATGAATTAACCAGTACTCCTCACTGTGGGCTGATTCTTACTAGTTTGAGGGTATATGGCATCATGGGACCCTCAATGTAGGGGGGCATCCCACCTCAGAGGTTTACAGCCCCTTATGCATTTAGTGTATTGTTAATTATGTGTAGATACCAATCATCATTAGTGTTGTGCTTTCCTACACCTCTCTGGGGGCAAATGCCCTGCCTAATGGTCAGCCTACCTCTTACTCCATGAAGCTGAGCCACCATTTTTGGGGAGGTGGCACAGACTTGGATAAGTCACTGCTGTCTGGACCTTGATTCCTCATCTATAAACAACGGGGCTATGATAGTTGAGTTCTAAACAATCTTCGGGCCCTAAAATATTTAGTTTCTTCAGAATGCCAAACTTTTTTTTTTTTTTTTTTTTAAATCAATTGGGTTCGGCTGTCTACATAGAGAGGCAAAGACCCAGGGTACCAGGCCTCCCTTTATCAATCCATGTCAGGAGAAGAGGTCAATTTCTCCTGCTACTCCCACAGCCTTCTCCTAATGAAAGGTCACTTGGGACCCTGGGGTTCTCAAAAGGTTTAGCTGTGCCAATTCCTATCCTCAGGAGTGATCCTCAATAAACAGTAACTTATGGAAGCCTATGAGTACAGTGACCATATTTTCTGAACCAAAAACTTGGGCATGTAATGTGACCAAGGATTTTTCTTTCTACTTTTTAAAGTATTTTTAACATTTATTTATTTTTTACATATATTTTGAGAGACACAGCATGAACGGGCAAGAGGCAGAGGGAGAGAAAGAGAGAAAGAGAAAGAGAGAGAGAGAGAGAATGAATTCAACGCAGGCTCTAGGATCCAAGCTGTCAGCACAGACCCCGGCACAGGGCTCAAACTCACAAACTGTGAGATCATGACCTGGGCTGAAATCAGATGCTTAACCGACTGACTGAGCCACCCAGGCACCCCTGACCAAGGATTTTTCCTAAGTGATTTCTGTAGCCAACGTGAGGCTTGGAGGACAACTATGAACAGGGCCCCTCCCAGCAGTGCCCTGAGGGGAAAGAGGTAGCTACCCCGGCCCAGAGATCATACAGGTCTCTCCAAAAGCTGAGAACCAGCCCGGGGGTAGCCAGGCACCTTCTCTCCTGGACATTACCTTGTGTAACTACAAGTCTCTTCAATGGAGAACTCCCTTCTCATCATAAATCAGTTGATGTGGTTCTGTGTCAAACATTCAGTAACTCCCCTCATTGACCTCCCTGCCGGTCCAGTCCAAACTCTCCAAAGCTCTCCATCTCACTCTGCCCTCCTACCTACTTTTCTAGCACATCTGGTATTTGCTACCTGGAACACTCCTGCTCTTATTTATGCCTTCTAAAGTATTTTTAATTTGATTAGACTGATACATGAAATAGTTTTAAAAGTAAAATTGTAAAAGGATCTTAACACAAAATTCCTTTTCCACGTTATTTTTTTTCTGACTTCACTTTCGTATCTCTAAACTATATGTTCATACTGCTAATCTGTTTTTGAAATTTATTTTTTTGTGTGTCCTTTGACATATTTTTTTTTTTGCCAAAGTAATACACGTATGTAGATTTTCAAGACACACAGTACTGCAAGGATTCCAACAAAACACACAAATTCCCTACTCTATCCCCTTCCACCCCCAACCCCCACTCTCAGGGACAAACCCTTTTCAACTCTTTTAACTGCTTTCTTTACCTCCTTATCTCTTAAGAGCCCATGTGTATATCTATCTCAATCAATACTGATAGCTAGCATTACTATGACTACATCAATACTAACAATGGATTAATCATATCATATGCTATAACCACATTTCCTTTCCCATGCAACTTTTTCTTTTCCCTGGTGTTGATGTTGTTGTTGTCGTTGATGATGATGATGATGATGATGATCTTGCTTGCTTAGTTTTCTTCATATCCATGATCAATTCTCCCCAAACCTTATCAGAAGTGCAATTCTCCTCTCAATATGTTTTGACACATCAGGTAATCTATCAGATTTTTTTTTTCTCCTTGAGACACTGTTCCTAGTGCAATTCAGACTGGGTGCTCTCTAGACTTTCACAAGGTTGCACTAAGATCTTCTCCCCTCCCTGTTGCTCTGGGATTCCTTCACCTCTCTTCTGTGTTGGATTTTCTGCTTCCTAGATCCCTTGGCCTTTTTTCTGACTTTGTGTCCACATTTTGCTGGAGCACATTCCTTAGTGCTCCCTACGAGGCCTAGGACATAAAATCTTTAGATCTCATATGTCTGAAAATGACTTTATTACGCCCTCAACCTTGATCAGTAATTCAATGGAGTATAGACATCTAGGTTGGAAATTACGTTTGCTCAGAATTTTGAGAACACCGCTCCATTGTCTCCTAACTTCCAGTATTGCTGTTGAGAAATCCAATGCTATTGTCTTTCTTGATCCTTTGTGTATCATGTTTTTTTTCTGGAAACTTTCAGGATCTTCTCTTTAATGCCCAGTATTCTGAAATTCCCCAGGCATACCTTGGTGTGGTCTTTTTAACATTTATTTTGCCGGTTACTCAGTGAGATTTTCATTCCTTCAGTTCTGGGACATGTTCTTGCATTATGGCTTTGATCGCTTTCTTCCTGCTGTTTCCTCCATTCTCTATTTCTGGAACTCCTAACATCGGATGCTGGAGTTCCCCAACTGATCCTCTAATTTTCTCATCTTTTCTCTTCTGTTGTCTATTTCTTTGTCTT